TCGGCAGCAGACGGCATTTCGAGTCTCAGGGGCGCCAACAAGGCAGTCAAACGGGCGTGAGGCGTGGATTGCACCCAGACCGGTGACTGCAAGAAAGTGCTTTCCGTTGTCGGCCAGAGAGGATGATGGAGGGGCAATGACACCAATTGGGAGTATTAATTTGCAATCCATCGCTGCCCCGCCATAGTAGACACACGATAAGAGCACATGGGAGGATGATGTAATCATGCGATAAGACGCACCCCGAAAGACTTACCTAAGCCCATTTCCATCCCGCGCCGTCTCGTATCGTCTTCATCTTCTTCATCGTCTTTCACTTCACAAGGGCGACAGATACGAGCCAGGGCCCCAGCCTGCATGAAGTCCATCCTGCGAAAAAGTGCGCGACATACGCCTTTTTGGTCGAAATCATGCGATTTCACATTGTTTTTCTTGCCATGCTGCTCTCTAGCTCTTGGGCGGGTCGACTCCGCGGGCTGCGCCATCTCGCGTTCCCTTTGGCCCTTTGGTTCCTCAGGTCTGGCCAACGGGCGGCAATCGGAGAATAAGGTACTGCACCAATCCTGTACGATGCAGCTCCTCAATTTCTGTCATTTTCTGTGCTTCGCCTTACGATGTAACCACCCCTCGAGTCGTTAGCTAGCCGGTGCATGCCCTGCCTCCGCCTCCCTTACCTGCCACCGGCCCTTCGGAATGTCGGGCGGCAGAGGGAAAAGCAAGCGCGGGTGTCACATTTGCTTGCTTTGTCTGGGGAAATCGCGTGCAGTAGCCAAACACGCCAGCTACGTATGCTGAGCGGAGAAAAGAAAAGAAAACAGCGTGCAGCACTTCGTGGCTGACTCGAAAACCTCGCCAGTCACATCTCGACAGCGAACATGCACGCCCTCGCACAAGAAAAGTGTCATTCGTCGTCTTGTCACGTCAGGACGCCCACCTGTTCGAATTCTGGCCCCTTCTGGTCCTGCTGCTACCTCGATTCTGGCCCTTCAGCGCTGTCGGCGGCAACACGGTTTGGCGGAAGGACTAACGACTCGCTCCCTCGGTCTCGAGTCTTGCAAGAAGAAACGCTCGGACACGTCCGAAGACTGGCCTCTCCACAAGGGTCGCCATCCATTGTCTACCCAGCTGGCTGCTTCAGCGGCGTCCACTAGACAGACAGCCAGCGGAAGCCAATTTGGCAACAGGTGGGCGTACATCGGGCTCTGAGGCATGACTTGGTAGTATTCATGACTGGTCCACTCCCTCTGGCCAACAAAGAGATTGACCGACAGGTACGGTTGACGGTTGAGGCAGGCCCTGGGACCACTTGAACTCCTTCCCTGGAGAACCGGCACCTACCGTTGGTCAAGCCTCGGCTTGCCTTACTCACCTGGGGTCCAAACCGACTTTTTTCGTCGCAATTGGAGATCTCACGACCGTGCACAACTGACACATGCACATGATCAACGAAGCTATGACTGCAGCACCGCTGTCCATCCCATGGGTCACAGCGCCATGTATCAGGGGTCGAGGAGTAGGTGACAGGGTCTTTCTGTTTGTTTCCTTGCTGCATCCTTTGTCTTTTGCCACCACCGCTTCCGCGACAGATTCATCATTCATCAATCTGGCGATTGACTTTCCTGGCGTGTCTCGATAGCTCATTGCCGCCACGCGAGCCCAGGCACCTGATAGACGGGTTGCAAATCAGCTCGTGGCCTTCTCCCGCCCAACCCCATGTGCCGATCAAGATCATCAGAGTCGTGTCGAAATGCGAAACCACCGGTGGTCAACACCACAGTAGTTGACTAAGAATCCCACGTGTACCGGCCGGTGCGCTCGACGTTAGACAGCCCACATTATCAATGCTGGTCACCAACGAACGCTTGAGGCCGACTCCCGGGCCTCTCCTCACAAGGCACTACATTTTTAGCCAGACCCGCCACAACAAGCCGTCGTGTTCGGCACATGATTTGAGATATTGGCGGGCAGCAGGGGCGAACCCATGAGCGCGAAGTCAGCCACGATGTGCTCGAGCGACGGGCAACGAGCGATGAGCGACCAGTGCAAGTTCGGCGCGTCCGGTAGCCTGTATGTTTCTCCGGGTGTTTCTCTCAATATTCTAGGCCTCGCAGCGTGTCCGCTGTGCGCGTGGGCTGTCGACGAACAAAAAGGAACTACCCGTGGCGTTTCGAGACTGGGTGACGGACCGTCTGGGTAGCCGGCTGCCCTGTTACTTCTTCCTCGTGCTGTATAGCACTTAAACCCACGGCATGATAGGCCCGGACGAGACCTGGTCTGCGTTGTTGGTTTACTGTCCTTTGAAGGCAAGTACCTGAAATGCACTTGATGCTGAATGGCAAGGTCCGGCCCGACCGGCGTTGTCTTGCGGGCTGCTAGTCGCCACGTACCTGAAGTTGGCTGAAGGTCTAACCATAGGAGGACGTTCAAGAGGGGGTGTGCACAGGTCTTGTGGTTACCTTGTTCGGTTGTTAGCTGAAGGAGATCGACCACGACAGGGGTAATCCCCATTGTGTATCCCCCACCGCACTCCTCATACCGCCGCTGGACAGGTGAAGTTGACGGGGCTGCAGGGATATCATGATTTGCGGCCTGCATCTCAATATACTACCCGACATGATCAACCCAATGATTTGGGACGGCGACGACATGGCAAATCTCCCCTTCCGCATATAACCCCCGCAGGCTGGTGTTGCTCTTCTCTCGGGAAGCAATGTAACATATGAGTCGATCACTCTCATAACCAGAGAGGTAGGATGAAAGACAAAGAGAGAGAGAGAACTAATCAATGCCAACCGAAGGCTTGGACGACGGAGGCCAGCCAAGGCACGCCCTCCCTTGCTGCGTTTGTGGCGTCAAGTAGCGAGCTGCGCCGTCTGTCACGACGAGAGGCAATGCGAAAAAGGGCAACGGCAATGGCTACACAGCCAGCCAATACTGGGAGAAGCCGAGCCGGCTAGACTCGCACCCAATCTTCACCACTGACATGGTTCCTTGATTGGCGCCGGTCGACACCATGCCAGGAGGTACTTTTCTGCTGTGGGAATTTTTTCTGCTTCTAATCGCTTTCGCAGTCCCTCACTCGCCAATCGCCACTCGGCACTCGTCGCTGCCCGTGATCCGACGGAGCGCAACCGGTCGGTGATTGGCACTGAGGGTTGTGGGCAAAGAGGCAAAACGGTCAACGTTGACTTTGGCATTGGCATTGACGTCGATCGTCGGGTGCAGATACGCCCAGTGCAGCACAGCACACCCAAGAACGCAAGCGGCTGATCCCAGTGCGAAGGATGGAGGAGGGGGGGGGGCGTTGGGACATGGTGCTGACTTCACAGTCACTCATCACACTTTCTGCATTTTTCGTCACACCCAAGCTCGAGTATCCTCGTCATACCTGTGGCTCGCCCGTCGTTCACTTGACTTTCACAAGCTGAGTATGAACCATTTAACCGACCACGCGGACCCTAGTTCCAGGCTTCTGGTCTCGATTTCATTCGCCTTTTTCTTTCTCTCGCTCCCCCCACACGTGATTCGTCTACGTTTTTTCTCCCCAACCGCGACTTCCAAACTCCGATGTGACCCAGTCGACCAACCGACACTCTGGGTCATGGCGTCAAGGCTAGTGGCTGGTAGCTGAGCCCGTAACGTGTAGTGTGTACGCCGTCGCGCTCCAAGACATGTCTCGAGCCCCTGTCCCTCATTGGGCAGTCTGGCCCGGCTCTAGCCAAGACTCTGGGCTGGCTGGACTTGTACTTGGTATGGTACGAAATGGGCAGAACGGGGGAAAAGACGGTGTCTACAACATTCTGGCTGTCTGACTTCTGGCATACAGGAGCATCTGGCCCGCCGCCGCCGCACCACTGTGCCTGCGACGGCTACCCAGGTCAGGCCTCCAGGCTGGCGGAGAGAAGACATTCTGGCAGGCTCTGAGGCGTGTTTGTTCGCTACCTGGCAACCTGCCTGCCTGGTGCGCATGACAGAATCGTGTTTTTGCTTTTTCATTCCGCTGTGTCTCAGTTCTTTTCCCTACCTCCATCTGCACGCCATGTGTCTTGACAATGGCCCCATTCATATTCGGCTGAGCCTTTACGGTGTCGCAGCCACCGGTTGCGCTGATGTGCTGGCAGGTCTGGGAGCGGCTTGACACTGGACACGGCTATGTCGTGGGCAGTGCCCGCGAGTTTGCTCTGCTTCCGTTTCCTCCTCTCCCCAGCACCAGCTAGCGTCCAGCATCGGGCGCCGGCCAAAAAAGGTACAATCGGCAGGTACTCGAGAGGGGGCTCGAGCTGTCATCGATACGTACCGTTTACATGTACGCAGCGTAGGTGCGCCGCCGGGTTGGCCATCCCATCTTGCTCGGCTACCTTACCGGCGAACCAATGCAGGTTCTGATACCACCGGGTCCAGATGAGCCTCGTCCCCCTGGCCTCTGATGTCTCTACAGGCCACATCCCTCGTCCTCGTCATACGCTTACGAGGGAGCCGGTTCGTGCGGTGGGTACTGTGGCTTGATGTGGGTGAGGAAGGGAAGAGACCAAAGGGGGGTGTGGAGGGGCGCTCGTGAAGCTTGGGACACACATATCGAGAGATCCTTGTCGTTGTCCTCGACAGGCATCGCCCGCCCCTCCATGGCTTGCTTGGCTCCGAAAGATCGCACACTTGTACAGCGTCCATGCGTCCTGGGGATCTACTCTACCACTCCTACCGTGCTCGCCACAACTGTCCTACCCACTCCGAGTTCAACTGATATGTAACATGTGTTCCCTCCCCCTTCTCTCGCCCTCAGGCCGGCTCTTATGAGAGTTTTCCTACTCCTCCTCATCGTCTCGACAACTCCCGACAGCAAGGACATCCGACGCAAGATTGCTCTCTCCCCAGGACATATCGACTGTCGTCCTCGCCCCTCTCGACAGGGCCCCGCCTAGGTGGAAGGCAGCAGGACAAACGCCTCGACTTGCATCAGGACAAATTCCAATCCCGTCGTCGACTATCTTTCAGCCACTGTCATGTCGTCAGCATCAGTAGAGGACCTCCTGCTGAGGTATGAGGGGCACATCGTCCCTCGTTCCTTCAACGCCGGCTTCATCACCCTTAGCTATGTCGTCAGTCTTATCGGTGCCGCCTGTACTCTCGAGCTCCTCAACCGCCGGACATCTCACAAGGGCAAATTCAACCAGTACGACCTCCCATGCATGCCCATCGCTCCTTGCTTGGCAGGCTCCTCTCGAGACATTTGTATGCTAACCAAACATTAGCCTACTCCTCGTCAGTTCTGCAGTAGCCATGGGTGGCATTGCCATTTGGTGCATGGTAAGTGGCCGATGAACGGCCCGCATTCTCACCATAAGACGCATTCCTGACATCCTCGTGTTAGCACTTTATCGGGAACCGAGCTCTCGACCTGGGAAATGGTGAGCCCGAGCTGCAGATTGCCTATTCGAGTGGCTTCACTGCTCTCTCTTTCTTCGTTCCCATTGCTGTGCTTCTTGCCGCCTTCTTCGCCATTGGCACGAACAATGTTGTTTCATGGTGGCGAGTCTCTGTTGGAGGCATCCTAGCCGGTGCTGCCATCTGCGGTATGCACTACCTTGGCAACAATTCCATCGACAACTATGTCTGCATGTACAACCCTCTCAACGTTGTCGGCTCAGCCCTCATCGCCGTGGCCGCCAGCATGCTATCTCTCGCCCTGTTCTTCGTTTTCCGCGCGGCATGGACAAATACGTGGTGGAAGCGCGCTGTATGCGCCGTTGTACTCGCCGGAGCCGTGTCCGGCATGCACTGGTGTGCGGCGACGGGTACCGAGTATCAACTCGTTTCCCTGAGCCCAGGGAACAACGAGTTGTCGAGGAACACGACTGTCATTGTCGTCATCGTCTTGGTAAGCCGACCCTGTGGCGGCCGGAAGTGGTTCGTGTTTGACTGACATATTCGCTCCAGTCCTTCTGCGCTTGCTCTATCATGGCTGGTGTCGCCATCTACACCGCTCGCGTGATGCGTCGTTACGCCAACAAGGCCCAGCAGGTCGTCCTGGCTGCCGCTGTTTTTGATCCCCAGGGCCGCATCCTGGTTAACCCCGACGGCCTACTGCCTAGCGAGAAGATCACCGACACGTTTCTTGAGAAGAACGCTAGCGACACGTTCGGGATCGCCCATCCTTTGTTCCACTGGATGTTTCGCGCGTCCAGGAACTGGTCAAGCGTCGCCACGCTTGTCAGCGGTATGGCGAACCATCTGACGCACCAGCCACGTGCCACCCGAGACCGTGACTCGCGTGTCGCCATTGAGCTTGTTGATGAACAGGGTGACATGGTCGCCAACTACGACGTCATCCTCCGCGAGCTCTTTTGCGTCGCCGCCCAGGGTCTTGCCGACAAGATGAAGGAACAGCTCACGTCGGTCGGCATTCTCTGGGACGAGATTCTTCCTACGGGCGGCGGCAACGAGCGCCCGCAGAAGAGCAGCCACGGCGAGACATCTGAGGACCTCGCCGAGAAGGGCATCCAGCAGCGCAGGAACAACCAGTTCGGCCGTGGTTCCCTCATGTTTCTCGTCCGCCAGGTGCAGACGGACAGGGATGTCGCGAGACTCGAGGCTGCCGGCTACCGGTTCGCTGAGCTGCGACAGGTCAGTGGTATCATCGGCTCAAGCATGCAGATCAAGTGCTGGGACTTTGAGTCGAGGCTGCGAAGCATGGCTGGCTATGCCCAGGACGAGAGTCAACTGGAACCTGGCGTGCACCTCGGCTTCTTTGGCATCCGCGCCCGTGTCGGCAGCTATGGTTTCGACGTGCTCGTCCGCCAGGGTGCCCGCAATCTTCTCCCCAGCGTCCAGATGCCCCTGAGCCGCCTCGAGACATGGCAGGAAGATCTCCTCCAGGAACTTGATGGCATGACCGTTGTCAACAGTGCCAAGAGGCTCGAGTCTCTCAAGACAATGTCGCCACGCGAGATGCTCTTTGCCTCGCAGCTCTTTGACGGACTCGAGTCGCTCCGCGCGTGGATTGACGACCCAGTCTTTGACGAGGCCCTCCTGTCACCACAGATCGTGACGTTGCCTGCCCGTGGCCAAGACGCCGAGCACAGCGCGAGGCAGCACCCGACAACCATGATCGCCTTCCGTCTTGTCATCCCAATCCACGTCAAGGTGTCCAACGTTCGGTGTGAGTTTGTGCCACTCAACTTCTTCAAAATCCACCAGCTCGTCGACCATGACGGCATGCACCAGCTGGCTTTCGCTCAGGCCGTGCACCGCGAATTTGCCCCTATCGCGCAGTCCGTTCCCCTCGAGAGGCCAGCGGCCATCCTACAGAACAGACAGCGCAAGTCATTTGCCTCGTCGCCGCGCGCTTCCCGTTTCCGCCGCCTTGGCCGCTCTGGTTCATCGTATGCCGTAGACGGTGACGGCAACCCCATTCCTACGGCCATCGGCCGTTCATCGTCGCCAACACACTCCAACGAAACAGGCTCCACTCTCAAGCTGTGGCCTGGCCGCCGTAACAGCGACAACAACTCAGCCGGCAGTTCCTACGACGCGCCACCACCCGCTTATGCATCGCCCGACAACACGCCACATGCCACAACTTTTGGCGGCATCATGGTCTCGGAAGAAATCCGCGTCGAAATCCATGAGGCAGGCGAACTGAGCCCCCTCCCCGGCCAGACGCAGCGCCGCACGCGCCGGTTGCCGCGCCTTCTGGGTCGCAGCGGAAATAGAAGCCAGCAGCGATATGATAGCGAGTCGGGTGCTACACAGAGGGCCACTATGGTGACATCTGGTGGCGGCGGCGGCGGCGTTGGCGCTGGCATTGACGACAGCCGTCACGGTGTACCCAACGATGGCACCATCGAGATGAAGACGCTGTCCGAGGTGCGCAGCAACGTTCACACGGGGGCTGGCTTGCAGATATCCAATATTGAGGTCGAGCAGGCAAGCGAGGGGCCGACCTTCGTGGACGAGCTGTTCACCATCTGCATCGACGGCCGCTGAGCGAGCCAACCAGGGAAGGGGGGTTGAGTCCCTCTTCTTACTTGTCTTCTTCTCTTTCGTCCCTCCGACTAATGTCTATACTATGTTGAGATGTCGGAAATGTATCATATAGGTTAGAGTCGTAGGCTTTCTCGTTTCTCACGCGCTTTGGGGGTGCTTTGGGTCGTACGAAGTGAGGAATCTTTTTCGCGACGGTGGTTCATTCGCGGTTGAGTTTCTTGAGGTCTGAGGATCCCAAGTCTCCCCGTACAAAATTCTTTGTTGCATTCATTCCTATTATTCTCCTCTTCACGTTTTCTCCTTTCTCTTTTCTCATTTTTTGATACCACGAAGCAACGAAGGGGGGGTTGGCGGAGTTCTAGTCGGAAAGGCAAATGGGTGGCAGATAGTCAAATTTATTCGTTCTCATGATGCATCTAGTCTCCGGGACAGTCCTCGTCGTGTGCATACACGCATGTTCTGGTCATGCGTGTTGGTGAGATGGCCAGCCGGCAGCACGTTGGAGCAGTGACGTTTATGCCGGCAGAATCAGATGTCTGGACGCATGGTCTTACCTGATCACCCACAGAAGCCAACTAGGGCATTCCGTTTCACTCAAATGTTCAAGCACCCCCTCTGCGGGCATTCTGGGTGGGGGTTCCAAGGGAGGGGCACTGGTGCTCTTTTACTAAGAATGGAGGTTGGACTTGAGGTGATGATGGCAAAGCGTGGAAGCCATATCCGGTCTCTATTGTTGGCTCCAATGCTGTGCAAGTTATTTCGTTGGGCACAGCCATATGACAAGTCATGTAGACACTCGTTGATATCGCCTGAGCCAACGCATGTTGTGGAACAAAGTCATGATACAGTGTAATGTTACGATTGACGCCGACAAGCCTCTCTCAGGCTCGCGACGAGGGTATTTGTTGCCCACCTCTCTCATCTAAAATGCACCACCGCTGTCATTCAAAAATGGTTCAAGAACCCCACGGGACACCTCGCAATGCTGGTCGTTTTGTCATATGCCCACAGCCTCACTCCTTTTTCGATACCTGGCCGTACCATCCCCCAAACAATCGAAAGACAATAAAAATCAGACCAATAAGAATAACGCCTCCAGGTGCCCGGGTATCCCTTCCACCTGTCTAGCACGCCCCCCCCCCCAAAGAGTGCGTGTGTAAATGTATTCGCTGCTGCATAATACCATCCTCATCCTGCTCCCTTCGAAATACAATTCCCTCGTGTTGAAGCCGAGAGACAGAATGCTGCCATGCATGTTGTGATATGTTGAGAGCTGAGTTGAGCCCCGAGGCTGGAAGTGTAATAATAATATCAACTCGATGAACTGCTGGTTCGCCGCACCTCGACCATGACATCTCGTTTGGCGTGGCCCAAACTGAAAACTCGATGAAGAAGACTGCGTTTGTGACCTGCAGTCCTGCGATAGTGATAATCAGGTCCACATCCGCAAGCGCCAATCGAGTCGGACGATGAAGAATCGGGCGAGCGCTGACGGTGAAGTTCCGCATCCCAACCGTACAAGTCGTCCTCTGACATGGCTGGCTCACAAGATGTCGAGCATTGCACGAGGGCTGGGTCCATTCCTGGCGCCGCAGGTACGTAGATACCCATGCCAAGAAGGTTTGAAACGTCGCTCAAGATGCACGAAGTCTCGAACGGCCCGGTGTGCTCACTGATGGGTGAGTCGGCGGCGGAGGTCAGGTCAACATCGCTGTCAGACATGGGGCATGCCGACATGTCGGTGCTCGATGTTGCCGTCGAGGAAGAGCTCGCCTTACGTGTCACGCCTGGATTCAGGGCAGGTACCGTCGTCACTTGCGAGGGCGAAGTCGTGAGAGGCTGGCCCGATGTGACCGAAGGCCGATTCCTGGATTGGGCGCGAACATGACGCCGGCTGCCAAGCCGGACGCGGGGTAATGGAACTTGTCCTTTTGCGGCCATGACACCTTCGCATCCACCGACGTGATGACAATCGTCGGTACCAGCCGCTTCTCCCACGTGAGCGAGGCCTGCCTTGGATTGGTAGGACAGTCGCATACCGGGGTGAGGTTCCTCCCAATCCATGCCATCGGCGGCATCGAGGGGGAGCTGGCCTTGGGAGGCGGCTGGTGATATGGATGTAGTTGGTGACACGACCTGCATCTCCTATAGGGAGTCTTGGCGGCTAACATCACTCATAGCCTGGTCGCTGTCGACAGGGCCCGAAGAGGTTGGGTTGATGCGACGGCTGGTGGTCCGCGGCTTGCGATTGAATCCGAGCTTGGCACCCATCTTCTTCCAGCCGTTGTTGTGTGCAGTCAGGGCCCGCTGGAACCCGCCGGGCGAAGTGTTGAAGGTCCATTCCGACGTGGGGGGCGTCGTCGGGGGCGTCATTGGCTCGGTGCTGGGCGAAGCAGCACTGTGGTTGTCGTCGGAGAGACCCTCTCGGTCGGCGAGATCTGCAGACCTTGACGCAGATCGACTGTTGGCTCCGCTGCGACCGATTGTCAGCTGTGGCAGAAACTTGGGCGAGCGACTCGAATCGTCTGACCTGGCTGGCATAGCCTCGTGGTGATACAATTGGAGCCTCGACCGTCCCTGTCTCGAGGCATCGGCGTAGTCTTCCTCCATGTGTGTCTCCGAATGCGCTGGTGACAGGGATTCAATGAAGGGCAGGAGAACGGAATCGTTCATGAGCTCGTAGACTATGGTCACGGCTTCGTCCAGTTCGCTGGGGCGAGGGGGTACTGGAGAGCAAGGCTGGGCCAAGAGGCGATCACGGACCCTCGAAGGTAGGTTGACTTCGCGCGGGGCGTAGGGGATAATGTACGCCTGCATGAGCTTGTCCCACAACGAGCAAATGTGTTCGTTACCATCGGCGATGGGTGATGCCTGTTCGGTGATGATTTGGCAGTACGCGTTGCGGTAGCGGTCGGCGTCCATGGTGAATTCCAGCGTCTCGAGACAGTGGTTCTGGGAGAGGTAGGCCATGAAGGCGGCGAGGGTCCATGGCGGGTGAGAGGTGTTTGTGAGGATCTGGGCCAGGGAGGGAGGGTTGACGTGGTATATTGGCCCGGCCGGGTAGAGGGCGGCACTCGTTGGTCTCGAGGAAGTCATGATGGTAGGAGTGGCTTCCCAGTCCGGGAGGACTGACGCCGGCCGAGGTGGTGACAGCTCGCGGTCGGGCGAGGGGGATGGGCTGAGGTAATTGGGCGACTCGCGTTTTATCCTCTGCTTTTTCATTGCCACGCCAGAGCAATCGTGGAGGAACGGTATTGATCAAAAACCACGGAGCGCAACCGAATGCATCCGTAGTGGACAGCTGGCGTCTGTGTGAGGAAGATGTGGTGCGTCGCGTGGGTGGGCGTGGTACGTCTGACGGGTGTGTGTGCCTTTCAGTTTCCAGCCCGTCATCAAGGGGTTCTAGGGTCGGTGGGTTCGGCGAGCCGTCGGATCAGGTGATGGAGAGAGAGACAAAGACGACCAGTCGACGTCAAAGTGCCAGGTTTGCCGAGAGACGATCGGGTCGAACGGAAGGATCGAGGGAAGTTTGGTCGAAAGATGAGGAATGCGGGTGCGTCGTTTGCAATCAGCAGAGGGCGGCTTGGTTATGGTGCGACCAACGACGGTTGCAGATTGTGTCGCAAAAGATGATTCAGATGGGACGGCACAGGGCGAATGGTAAAAGGCTGATGGCGTCGTCCAGTCAATTTTCTTCTCGTTTTCGACCCACAACCGCAGTGGTAGCGGTGCTCTACTAGTCTGTCTGACTTGTGTCTCCTTTGAGTCGAGAGCGTGATTGAATCGTCTGGTGAATGAAGGGCGGTGGGTATCGGGTACGGGGTTGCGGTTTCTGAGTGTCACTGGCCCATTCGTGGCTTGCAGGTGCCCGATGTTCTAGAAGGCCAGAGGGGCGCGGCAGGCAACCGAGTGAGGGGGCGAGGCGCGGGCGCCGAGCGTTACGAGTCGAACGGAGTGGCCCGCCAAGGACAGAGGAGCTGTGCCGCCAACGACAAACCCTCCAAGGAAAAAAGGTACGTGGAGAACCGAGAGAGAAAAAAGATAAAAAAAAAAGTCGACGATCTCCAGAGCGTGGCCGCACTTGACGCAGGGCAAGAATAGGAGGGCCGTTCGAGCAGAAAGGGGTGAAATAGAAGTGACAATGTCGGTGGCAGGACGGTGCGGTAGGGGAAAGGAAAAGGAAGGGAAGGGAGAGAATGAAGAATGGAATGATGATGAGAGAGTAGAGCCAGACAGGTGGTCAGGCTGCCGGTTCCCTGTCCCTGTACTAGGCAGGCACTAGTGGGGAGCACCGTCTGTTACCGTCAGACGAGAACGTACAGGCTATGATGTGTGTGGTGCTTGCCGTATGTTCCTGGGAGTATGGGCGTGTGCGTGTGCGTGTGCGTGTGTGTAAAATGTACGACGGACCCCTAAGAGAGTAACCAACCTGATGACGGCGTGGTGGTTGAACCGTCAATCACGGCATAGAACGGGAGAGACGAAGGAGGCAAGGGAGGAAGAAGAGGCTTGGGGCTTTGCTTTAGGGGGAGAAGTGTGGAAGGGGGGTGGGCGTGGTGCTGAGACGGACCTGAGCCTGATGAGGGAAAAGAGAGACAGATGCGCGGGCAAGAGCGCGCGGGCAAAGGGGACGGAGGGGGGGGGGGGGGGGGGCGCGGGCAACATGCCTCTTGCCTCGACCACTTGGGTTCTGGGTAGTCTGTCTCTTCGTGGTATGTATGTCTCTCTTCCCACTGTCTCTCTCGCTCTTTGTCCCTCGCTCTCCCCCCTTGATCCTGCCCCCGCTCCCGCTCCTGCTCCTTTTCACTACCTCCTTCTCTCCTACGCAATGAGTGGAACGGCAGGCAGGCACGCATGCGGAGAGAAGGCAGGATACGCCAGCACCAGTGAGGCACGTGTGTGGACGAGCAACCAATGCCAGCATCGGGCTGGTCGGCCGCCATCTGCCATCCGGGACTCCCATCCGCATGAGGCCGAGCGGATCAGGCAGGCAGGGTGCTGGACGGAGCCCTGCTTCGCCTGTCACCTGCTGAATAGGGCGACAGATGGACGCCGGACAGCCGTGGCGCCTTTGCTCATGCCTGTCCCGCCCCCCCTCCTTCCTCACCTTTGGCATCACCTCAAGACCCCCTCCCCTGGACCTGGAGGGCCATGCTGTTTGGGAAGGTCACGTTGTGCGAGCCGCAAAGGTTGGTAGTCAGTCAATCACGTACCAGCAGGCAGGCCAGGCACGCCAGGACTGCCCGCTCACTCGCTCACCTCCTTCATCTCGGTGCCCTGTACCCTGGACGACTTGCTCTGTTACCGAGGCCAGCATTGCTCTGGGGCTCCACTCTGGCCATCCAGGGAGGGCGCAGCACGCCCTGCCACTGGTCACAAGCCCCCTCTGCCGACTCGGAGGGAGGGTCACATCTCGCTGGTCACGGCCCACAGTGGCGCCACGCTAGAACATTTCGAACGATTTGAATCTTCCAAAACTATGGGACCTTTCCTTGGAAGCCCCAGAAGGGGGTGGGGCCAGCGCCTGGCTTCTCGCCCCATCGGACGGACCCTCTCAGCCAATCCCTTACTCTTACTCTCCGCCCAGGCCGAGTGACGAATGAAATCACAGTCAGAGTCCAGACGCGAGAAGCCAGAAGCTAGAAGCCGGATTGATGCCAGACGACTTGACTAGTCCACTTTTCAGACTGGTGCTACCCCAGCCCCCGGCCACTGCGAAAAGCGGCGAGTGATCAAGCGAAGTCTGTTAATAAGCCGTCATGCGACCAAAGGGTTACGCAAGAGAATGGGAAAAACGAGTAAACAGCAGTCAGAGGGAAACTGGTGGAGGGAGGGGGAGAGTTGGTCGAAAGCGGTACCGGACGGTGAAGAACGAGAACACCCCGTGTTGCTTCTTGGGTTCTTCGTCAATGTTGTCGTCTTATGCGCCTTGTGCCAGCCCCCCCCCCCCCCCCCCCCCCCCAACCCTTACCGATCGATTGTTTGGGGGCGCTGAAGGGGGGGGGGGCGAGTTGGAGGGCTGGGCTCTGTCTGGGGTCTGGAGATCGACAGTGCTAAGGTACTCCGGCTGCATTGCACTATTTCGGACGAGACGCTTCCTGCCCGTCGACGTAATCTCGTGGCAGATGAGAAGGCGAGTGTGCTTCCTTTGGAGGGGAGAGAAGGAGGAGGGGGGCATCGAACATGAAGACGAGGCGGGACTTGCCGCCCGGTCTGCCCAGTCTGGCGCCGTGGCATCATCCCACGTTCACACACAATGTCTGTCATGTTGCTCATTTCTCGACCTGCCTTGTCTCTCTGCCCGGACACACATATATGATGACCGGTTGAATATCTCTGACCAAGATGCCGATCTGTCCATCGATCTACGTCGCAGTTAGCCCAAAACGCTTGTTGCTACCACACCACCGCGAGAAGGGCACGCTCCACCATCAGTGCTGGCTCGAATAGAGGCACCTGTCGATCGATCACTCGTCGCGGCTGCGGCTGGAACACGGCTTAGAGACGGCCTATTGCTGATTGCGACGATGGCCGACCAGCTATCCCGTTCGCGTTGTCGTCATGCCCACAGTGGCTCGTCAACGGCATGGCATGTTCTGACTGAACTGTTCTTGTTGTGTGTAACGGTATAGTGGGGAACTGGGTGATTCTTGTTTTACATTCTCTTTCCTTCTTCTCTTCCTCGAGTCAAAAGGTGCAGCCGGGCTGACGAACATGACTCCCAAAAGCCCAGCTGGATCATCTACGGGGACACGGTTGACACGGTGGATGGTATGCGTCGGGGCACCGCCGGACGACACAGTCTGAGCGTGACAGCGACCAAAACAAGACAGGCGAGAAAGAGAGTTCCCACTGCCCACTCCTGCCACTTACAGCCAGCCACCGGCATGCCCCCCTTGGCCGATCCAACGAGCCGTTCATTTGCACCCGAAGACTAAACCCGAGCGCCCCACCGCTTCGCTGAGGTGGCGAGTTTCTGGAATGCTGCCCCTTTCGGTTCGGCGCCTTGTGAACCAACCACTCTCCGTCTTTCTTGGATGGAGTCTTGTCTATTCCTCCACTCCTCCTCGCCTGGGTTTCGAGAACCAGTCCTCTGGCCCCTTTCCCCCCTCTGACTTTTTTCCTTTGTGTTGAGGTGTGACCCCCCTGCCCTTGGCTTTGCCATCTACAGAGCGGCGCGGCGCTAACGGCTCCTCCGAACGCCTGTTCTTCGAATCGGGGGATTTCTGACGACAGTTGCGGTTTGGAGGGGCGCCAGCGCGTGGGCTTTCTCGAAGGAATCGCCTGTCTGCTCTGCGGCCACTAATTGAATGACCGACCGCCTTTCGGCCGTGTGATCCGATCCCCTGGTTGTAAGTAACCTACGCCAGATGTTCTCTTGGAATTTTTTTTCATGTGAACTAAAACAATCGTGTCTCCCTTCCGCTTCGTAAGGGAGCTCCGGTCGGTCAGTGCCCAAATGGGCGCTATTGCCGTGTACCGTGCCCATTGTCCGTCCATCAGTTGGATGGTAACGACCCGCATTCGACCTTCCATCACCCATCATCTCCATCTACATCCGCTGCTGGCCGTCGAGAGCAGACAAGGCGTCGCGAGCTCTCGTCACATCGCTTGGGGTTTTTTCGACGAGTCTGCTCATGCAAGCATCCCGCTCCTACGGGAACCACAGTTCTAGACTTGATGTCCTTGCGGCCTTCCTTTGTGCCGCACTGACACAGCCACCCTGCAAGTTGGAGCATATGCCAAGCTATCTGCCAAGTCCCCTCCCCCCCTTTTCTCAGGCACGATCCGTAGAGCCTCATCGACATGGCTGTCGTCGTTTTGTTACCACAGAGTGACAAGCACCGAAAACATAACACGTTACTGTACTTCGCACGATTGTGGCCGAAGAAAACCGTTCCAAACTTGAAAGATTCGTCACTCGGAGGAGTGGCTGGCCATCCGTGGCTGCTTACGACTCCTGGTATCACTGACTTCAAACGCCTGCCAAATCCGGCCCATATCCGGCCCAAATCTCAGCGCTACCATGACATTTGACTGTGTGACGCCCGTATCCAAGTCCATGCACAACTCAAAGAGCCTTACGCAAGGTACCAGATGTCACGATGCTGAAAAGAAACCTTCCCCGCCTCCCCAAGTCCTCCCTTTCCGCCGCACCATTGAACCCTCGTCATGTCACAGACCGGCAAGATCGAAATCCTTGCTGAAACCTCCATTCAGTAGCATTGCAGCTATTCGAAGTCGCTGCAGGGGCATCTCATCTGATGCATAGGTGTCAATAGCGTTCAAACCTAGAGCAATGCACATGCCGTTTGTGATTGTGTGCACGCCGCAGTCGTATCCGTTTGTCTGTCGAGGGGCGTCATGTCGTACCACCCTCCACTCAGCTTCGATGAAGTTCTCTTCGAGAACAGCCTTGACCCAAGCCTGGGCCAGTTTAAGTTTACTGGCGGATCCAGCAACGCTCAGTGAGTCCATGTGAGCAATGGTCCGCATCTTGGGCCGGACCACAATGAGTGTCCAGTGAGAGTTCTCACACACTGGTAGCAGAACCGTGTCGAGGTCGCCAAAGTTCGCCTTGGATACACCAAAGCGGCGAAGCGCTCGGCCGGTACTCCCGGGTCCAGCATCCTGTATCCTCTTCCAGATGAACGACGACAGTGCAAGGCACTTCCTGTTCGCTGATCGAGCGTCACTGACACCGGCTGCAAGGTTGATAAAGCGATCTAGCCATAGCAATGTGCCGTTCACAATCTCATCGTTGAGCCATTCTGTCGGAGGAACAACTCTGGCAAAGTCGCGGGGGGTGAGTTCGGTCCCCTCAAAAGTGCGCGCAACGCTGGCACCCTGACGAGTGACGGAGGCTTCGACCTTTCGCAACCAGTCATCTGACAGCGGAGCCACCATGGGTTTGTGAGGTGGACGCAAGCCCCCCGTCTTGAGCAGTTTCTCAGCATCAGCACGCTTTTTCTCGGCCTCCGCCGCGGCTTTGGCTGCAGCTGCTGCGAGAAATTCCCGTTCTTCCTCTTCGACCTGCCTGCGAAGTGCGACTTCATCTAAAGCCGATTGCCTCTCGTCGCTTATTTGCAGGCCCGAGAGCTGTTTATCAAGGTCCGACCCGAAGACTGGCGAACTGGGTCTGTAGTATTTTCGCAGCCCCTCTTGCATGTGACCGTTTATGCTGGCCCCGTGGCGAGTGAGCACGTCATGCTCGCGGTCTTCTTGCTTCTCGTCGGCGCTATCGCTTTCTCCTTGCCCCTCCTGCTCATCTATGTTATGACGGAGATAACTGGCTGTATTTCGATGCCCGTCGGCGATGTCTTGATGAGAAAGCGGCCTGAATGAAGTTGAATGTATGGCCTCCGTGTTGCTCAGATTGTCGTCATACGCCTCCCTATGAACAAATTTCGTGTTGGAACCTTCCGCGATCTGGGTTGTCTGGTCAACGTCTGACACGTCTTCAGCCTCTTTCCCACCGGCTGAAACAAAGTAATGACCCGTGTTCTGTAGTGACAGCGAGGCCGGGGTGAAGAGGCTTGCCGTGCTCGTGGCTGTCGCTCGCCTCAAATCTGGCGACTTCAGGCGCGGGACGTATGAGGGTGGTGATCTAGAAGTAGACCGCTTTGAGACCGGCGATAGGATAGCCGATCCGACAGAAGAGCGGGGCTTGTAGGGAGAATAGTCAGGGTCATGATCGCGAGGCCTGTGTCGAGATAATTGCGCCGCATCTGGCGAAGACGTTGACCTCAGTTTCTCCCTCAGAATGGATCGCATGGACCGGTGGTTATACACGTTAGAGGAGACCTTCTCGCTGGATGTATCAGCGCTTTGCGGATCTACAAGATGCGCTTGAGTCAAGTCAAAGGGAATACCGTCGTGGAGGGTAGGTAAGGAGTCTCTTGAGGCAAGCGGCATTTCAAATTGCGCAGAACGGCTTGCAGCGAACTGGCCTTTGCGCAAATTTGACTGTGTGTCAGCTATACGACTGGTGTCCTCTTCCGGGAAGCTGCCTGGGATCGCCAAAAAAGCTGGCGGAACTGTCATGTTTGGCGCATCGGACATGACGACATCCTCGTCAGCAGGAACGCGTGCCAAACGCTCCCACAAGGAGAGTGTTTCCGTCGATGCATTGACAACCAGACTCGGAATAGGTCGTTTCGCAAGAAGAGCGTAGAGATCATTGCAGACTGTCTTTAGCAAATGATCATCCACGTGGCAGCAATCCAGGATAGGGCCCAGTTCCGAAGGCAAATTCTCGAGCAGGCGCACTGCGTGGTCGAAAGAAACGTCTTCGGCATTTCTCTCGAGGCCGTATCGAACGCGGGCTTGCGGTGTCTTGTTATAGCGTTTCGCCTGTTCAAGCATGTCCCTGGAATAAAGGTGCTCAATGACGGCTGAGGCATGGGTGATTGGCATCACAAGTGTAACAAGATTCTCGAGTCTCAGATGCGCAAATTTGTCGCCCCGGTAGCTGAAGCGCTGGGCACTCCGACGATCGAGGTCACCAGCATGCTGGTCCTTGATGCACATTGTGGCCTGAGAGAGCCCCTGGAGAAGACATTTGATATGACGGTCCCAGAGACGGGCTCTGGCATCTTCATCGATCCAGGAAGGTTCATCATCCCCACGCTGGGAGAGTCGGCGTTTCTTCGAGGCAACATTGCCTGTGTGGTGGTCGGAAGTGCGTTGTTCGACAGCATTGGATTTGTGACTGACTGGGGTAACGCATCAGAATGAGCAAGGCCAAGATAGAAATCACAACAGGGATCACGTACCGGGCCCGAACAGACTGCTAACCACTGCTGACAACTTTCCAATGATCTGTGTCATGGTGTCACTGGTCCACGACATGGGGCCTGGGGCAGTGGCACGGAAGCGGCTCGTATGCTTTGGTACGGTTAGTCTGCGTCTGCTGTATGTGACAAGAGTTACCTGGCGGCAACATACGTCTTGAGGGCCTGTGTGAGGGCGAGCATCGCTTGCAGTGCGTAGGAGAGACGACTGTTCCAACGCCGCAGCAACACTATCTGGCTCTAATGATTCAGCCTTCCGCTTGCGTGTAGACGAAGGAATAGCATGCAATGTTCCCGTCTGTTGTGGTTCCCAAAAACGAGCGATATCCTCATCGACAAGGCAACTTTTGTGCTTCCCTGCTAGTGAAGCAAGTCCTCTGTGTTGCTTGAGCCTGTCGTTGGTAATTAGGGAAGAGGTCGCAGGGTCGGTGGCTCGGGCGCGATGGGAGGTATGAGATCTCGGAACGTAGTTGTGAGTGGTGCCTTCCTTCCTGGCAAGTTCCGCCTTCCTTCGCTTGAACGCCTTATAGCCGTCGTAACGGGTCGCGAGCATCCAGCTGTCTGTCTTCGCAATGATGCAACCGCGAAGAGGGTCGTCGGGACATGCGAATTCGGGTGGTTTGTACATAAGCAGTGGGTTGTTATAGTAAGGCTTCCATCTCTGTGAGAATATGGCGCTGGTCGGGTCGAGGAGCCTGGCGTGATTCGATTTGATAGGCCTCCAGTGAGTGCTGACGTCGCGCACGTTGACGAGTGGAAACCCGTGGGCGATCAACCTTTGTCGCCGGAGAAGTTCAGATTCTGGTAAAGCCATTGCAGTCAGCTTACAGTGTTTCACTGGTCTAGTTCCACTGCTATACGTATGCTGAACCGGTGCTTGCTAGGATCCAGGTGAGGTGGGAGGTGGATAGCTTGCTTAGAGGTACGCATGTCATGGTGGGGGGGCTCGACGTTGCAGGGGGACAGGAGGAGTGGCATCGCAAGCAAGTGCAATAAGCCGACATGAGGATGAATTAGGTGTAGTGGTAAGACAGTTGGGAGCGTCCACATAGTACAGTGATCCGAATTGTTGGGTGGGAGGACTAGATGCTATAGTGAAGGAAGTCGGGGACGTTACAATTCCACACGTCGGGGGGGGGGGATAGCAGCTAGAGGAGCCTTGGTCGTTGCGACAGTTGTCGCGTCGCGCCTCGTTGGTTTCTCTACAGCGCATCCGCGTGTTTTCTTCTCTAGAGAACGATGCTGGTATAAGGAAAGGTCAGGTAGTGGGTGGGTGGGCAAGTTGAACAAAGCGTGGCTTTACGCGCGACTGCGATGGTTGATGCAAGACAGGGAAGTCGCGATGCAGCATGGAGATTTCGAGGTGGGTCCAAACTGCATTCACTCAACACCAAAAGTACTCCACTCAAGGAATGTCTGATCACGTGTCACAAGCCATACCGATCACTTCATCAGCTTTCACATTGCAGGCACTGTAATCAATTCTGCACCTCAGGTGTGTATTCACCCTACCCGGGTGCCTAGATAGGTAGCTGCATCGAATAGCGTCACAACTATTGGATGCGCTGTATGCCTCTGGAATAGGACATCTCCTTTGAACGGCAATTCAATTTGTACAGTGTCTAATCAGCACATCTGCGGCTACGATACGTCTACGGGCTTGCTGTGTCTACAGGCTTGCTGTGTCCACCCGCGAAATAGGACTAATCGTTACATGAGAACAGATCGTGTTCTTCAGAAGGTCACCACTTTTGGCGGTGGGGCCCTCTCCTTTCAAAGTTGTGCAGACAGTCTCACCTGCTTTGCGCCAAAGGAAGCGAAGTACTCGTTCAACGCGTCAACGGTGCCAGAACCTTCTGCCAAACCCACAACAACACCCACGTAGCCGTCAGGTCGGACAACCACAACACCTCCCTTCTCTTCATCCAGACCCATCTTGGCATGCGCGGCTGCCTTTGCTTCCGGCACCCTCCGGTCCCAGAGGTCGTCGGCATATACGTGGTCACGATATCGTGCCATCAGCTTGGGAACGTCGCGCGCAATCTCAATGCTACTTCTCGTCGCTGCGAAGATAGTGCATATGGTGAAGAAGCGGCTGTGGGGGTTGTGCGTCTCATGGTAAGACACCATGTCGATATCCGACCGCTGGTTCGTTGCATAGAATGAATTCCTGGCTTGGAGTCCGTCCGCGAAGTCGCTCAGAGCGCGGCTGGTTTTTGACGGCTTGCCTGCGAAGACGAATATTCTGAAAGAGCCGTTCATGGGCACCTCTTGTTCGAGATGGACGACGTTCGCGTCAACGACCCTCGTGACGTTGGCGTTGATCAAGAGGCGGCCTGTACGCAGCTTCGACCCGCTCGGGTTGATCAATGGCGACTGGGCGGGGTGCTCTGTCGACCAGTTGAGGGCATTTGACTTATAGGCAACGCCGTATCCGCTGGTAAACTCGCAGGACTCCTTGAAGGCCCTGATGAAATCATTGTCGCCGCCATCGGCTTGTCCATTTCGGGAAGCAGCCTGCGCCTCTGTCGCCGCATCAGGCCGTTGCGAGAATAGCTTGGCGTACTTGTTGTCAAAGTCGAGGAGAGCCTCCGCTACGTGCTTCCGTTCGGTTTCGTACGTTGCCAGCAGATTCCGGTGGGCGAAACCAGCTTCGACTAGATGAATTTTCCAGGCCAAGTTCTGGGCGTCCAGGAAAGCGGTGTTCATGCCCTGACCTGCTTTGGGCTATTCGGCATGTTAGCTAGCGTTCGATTCGACAGTGGCTTCAGTTTCCGAGACTTACACTGTGGGTGTGGCACGCATCGCCACCGAGGAAGACACGATGATCCAACGTGTAACGGTCGGCAATGCCCTGACCGATTGGATACACCGAGTACCATTCGACACGATCCCACTCTACATGGTACGGTTGGAAAATGCGCTTCGCCGAAGCTTGGACATCTGCCTCCGTGGCCGTCTTTCGTGGGTTCCAGTCGGCATCGGTCGAAGAGGCAATCTGAATGTACAGACGCACCATGTTATCCTCACGAGGGATAACCATGATGGAGCCGTGCGGGCTGTGGATGGTGCACTTCATCTGTTGTAACGGTAAGCCGACATGAAACATGGACATTTCGTTTTCGTTGCCAGCCACGTACCTTGATGTCGGGAAAGTCGGTCCGGACAACGCCGTCCATGACACCCCATACGTGCTCAATGGGATCCTTGTGCTTGATGCCGATGTTGAGCTGGTTCCTGATGAAAGATCTCGCACCCTCGCCGCCAAAGAGATACTTGGCACGGACCGTCTCCTGGGCGCCTCCATCTTGGTGTTCCAGCTGCACCTCGACGGGGTACTCTGGGTCTTGCGCGACGTCTGAAGTGAAGCCTGAGATTGTCCACGGACGCTGAATGCTGACGTTGTTCTTGGCCAGGTCTGAGATGAATACCTGCTCAATGAGGCCCTGGTGGAGGAGAGTGGTGAAGGGATACCGCGCATCGATGAAGCTGGGGCAGCTCGCCCACGTGCCGGTCCTCGCGATGCCATCACCTTTGCTCACGGGGTCCCAGAATGCAACCTCGAAGACACGAGCGGGCTTATGGGCCATGATGTGAGTTTTGAGGCCCATGTTGCGAAGAAGATCCAGAGAGCGCGGCTGAATGCCATCAGCACGGCCGGTCTTGGTTGGTTCCGGCCGGTTGTCAATATGCTTGATCTTGTAGCCCCACCTGGCCAGACAGGTAGACAGCATAAGGCCAACAGGGCCAGCACCGACGATGACTGTACGACGAATGAGAACAAAATCATGATAAAAGAACCGTCGCCTCGTGGAGTGCCGGCGTGGACTATACGAACTGACCTATGTCATATTTGGGAACATCCTGGGAGGCGCCCGTCATGTTGAGATTGGCCTTGGAGTTGGGAAGGGAAAGACAGCGCTTGTAGAGGGACTTTGGGCCAGAAAAGGGATGGTTGGGATATTCCGATCACTCGGAAGATGGTACCGATCGCGGAAGGTGTGAGGGTTCAAAGACGCAGGACTGGAGTGCGAGGCAGCGAGTCTTATAACTCAGGCCAAAGGTGGCCGTGATCGATGCCGAAGTCACGGCCGTAAAATGGGAGATGTGGGGAGCTACTGAGGTAGCATGGACGGGTAGAGGGAACGGTAATTGACCCCGCGATCCAGGGCTCTCGCTCTGCCCTGCGAAAGAAACCCATATTCCCGGGATCTGCTTGGTGGCAGGACCAGGAGGCGGGGCCCGAATCATTGCCAGCCAGAATGCCCGGCCTTGGAGACAGTGAGGAGTCGCAAGACCAGGACGCACGGTTGCCCCACGCCGGGAAGTCGACTCGGTAGTGATGATTGTGGGTCGCCGGACTCTTGTTGTCGCTGTGTTATATAAGCGGCATGTCATTGGTGGCTTAGCGTTGGTCGTGGTAGTCGGGAAATCTGACCCGGTACGTACCTTCTTACTCACCTGGTAACCCTTGAGGAGACCGTTCCGACTCTGAGCTGCCGCTCGGAATTGCCATACCACTCTCGACGGGAGGAAGTTGACGACATGCCCATGCTCCGATTCTCCTATTCTTCATAGTCCTGAAGTGCCAACAACAGTCGGGCTATAGCCGGTCCGCTATGACTGCGGACTCAACGGCACAGTCCAGCCGAATTTGGCCACGTATGGAAAAGAAACAGGACGACCATGGCCATTCCCAGGATGGTCCCTGTCGATGACTGAACCAGGTGCTCGGAATTGGCTTGGGCAATGCTGCGGTCTTGCGCAGACTTTGCAGCCGATCTCACGAGACAAGCAACCAAAGATGGCGATGTTGTAGGGTATCTGGTGATGTTCGAGTAATTGAGTCCGTCGAGGGAGCCGTCTTCGTCTTGTGCTGACTGAAATGATCGATGACTGCATTATCGCCGACGGAAGATGGTTTCCATCATGGTACGGCAAGATGACTCCTCCTCGCCACAGCCGGACCTGAAGCTGGAGCCGGATGACTGTCTTCGTCCGGCTGGAGCACAGGACCTCAACTCAGGTATGTCACATCACATCACGCAGGTCAGCATATCTTGGAATCCTCTTCTTTGCCTGTACCTGGCAAAGTATATTGGTTGCCTTTCCACCGACTGGGGTGATCATTGGCAGGAGCGCGACGACGTGGAAGGGTCAATAGTGCAGAACGCGCCTCCGAC